TTGGAAAGTCAATTTAGGGGGCAAATATTGTCCTTTAATGGAAAAGGTGCAGTCTAAGTGGAAGAGAGGGGGTACGCAGAAATGCCTCAGGGGGTACTCCACTCTAAAAAGTCTGGGAACCACTGATGTAGAACATTCTGTCCTGTGCAACAAGTGATTTATTTTATATTTTCAGGTACAGCGGTTAGTTTGAAATAAAAGTTTGTTTAACAGTGGAAATTGAGTCTCACATTATTTAAACATTATTCAAAACATTAATGGTGAACATTTTCGACTTTATAAAATGACTCTCTTAAGTCTTGGCGATCGGCCCCTATTAAACAATAAAGAAAGACATATTTTTCTTATATACATAGTTTAGTAGCCTACTATTCTTTTTGCCAGAATTGATCATTAATCAACTTAATTATTTCCTGGATTTTGTATCACCATAGTCCCTAAATGTATGTACATGCAGGAAATGGGATTCAAATCGAAAACATTTTCCCCCATTTTGTGTCCCCCCCCACTTCTCAAACCAAAGTTACACCCTTGCAGGCACGCATCCGTTTTTCTCCCAACTGTTTACTTTCATTTTAGACATAACCAACTATGGTTACACACAGTCTATATGTAAACCTTGTGTGTTTTTGACATTATTAGCACAAAAGATAACTTAGTTCAGTAATCAGGCGCTATTTGACAGGCTTTAGTGCGCGCGCTTCAGGTGTAGGCGCTCAGAAAAGCACACGTCAGAACAGCATGTGAATTAAATGTTTAACCGGCAAGGCTTAGAAGCACATGCAAATAATGTACTTTTGTGATTGCGCATAAGTGCAATGTCCTGTGGGTGTAAATACTTCTGAGTTAACATTTGATGTGAATGCATGTGGCATTGTACAGTATATTGAGGCGGAGGCGTCAGAACCGCAGCTGATAAAATGTGCGCTGTAGCACGATACTGTATTTATTCAAAAGCAGATTGTGTCCACGATCAAAAATCTTCATATCACACACCCCTATATTTGATTTATAAAATCACAACCCTGTTACAATAACTCATGTATCTCTCATGTTTTTCAGCAACAGTGTAGAGCAGGGGTCCTCAAACAGCAGACCAGCATTTAAAGTGAGCAGAACGTAACAACAGAGAACAGTACACACCAAACCCTCAGGGTTGTTTATTGTAATGACCTTTCGATGCTATATCCTCTAATATTTGTATCTAGAGCCAAACACACTTTGAACCCTCCATTCACGTTGCTTCTCTCCCAAACGTATTTTAACAACAGTAGCAGAGACACAGAGCAGCAAAATAGATTGATATACTTTTGCTAAAACACTGCAGAAAATAGAACGCAGCAAATACAATTACTTTTATCCATCACACATATGACTCTGACCTTTCAAATAAACCAGGTTTGTGACTTTTGTTTCCATCTACAGATAACATTATTAAGCAGCATGTTATAAAAGAGCTTCTCATAATAAACAATGTCTAAATTATTTGTAGATGGCAAGGAAACAGCTAAAACTTTGAAATTACTAGTTAACTTTGTTGTCTGCTCATGATGAAGGTGTGTTGATTATAGTGTTTGCAAATTGCACCTAAGTCAAGGTTTGGTCAGTTACCCGGATGGTTGGCAATATTGGAGATACTCACATGGATTGCATGGTTAAAGGCGTCATATGATGTTGCTAAAAAGAACATTATTTTGTGTATTTGGTGTAATGAAATGTGTTTATGCGGTTTAAGGTTAAAAAAACACATTTTC